CTTCTGACACCCACGGGGAATTCCTTACCCACATTTCTGGGTTTGCATGACTCCTGGCTGGGGAAACCTTATGCAATGGTTTGGCTCTGTGCTGCCTCTTCCATCTTCACTGACTCTTTTCTTTCAGCATTTAAACATGTTCAAGCCTGTGTGTCATTTTGAAAAACCTGTTGGTCCCTATTTGTTTTCTTCTTAGTCAGACTTCTTGGAGGAGATGCTTACCTCTATCTTCACTTGCTTGCCCCCCATTCACTTTTAATCTGCCACTCAATGCCCACCACTCCCCTACCATTAATGCTGAATGCCCACCACTCCCCTGCACATGTCAATCCTATTCTAGTTGCCAAACTCTATGGACATTTTTGAGGTCTTATCTCCCTCAGCCACTTACCGTTGACTTCATTCTTGAAATTCTTCTTTCTTTATTTCTTTGTTTCTTTCAAGACCTCTCACTGTTTACTCTCCCACCCCAACACCCTCCTCTCTAAGGCAATCCCTGCTCCAACAATATCATAGGAACACTTGCAGTTCTCTCCCTGTGCTTCTCATACCTAGATACCTGCCATTTTATCTTTCTAGAACAACCTTCATGCCCTTTTCTTCCTAGCTAACTCCTAGTAATCTTTTAAGATACAGCTCCAATACAGTATGCCTCCAGGAAGGCCCCCAACCTCCAAACTAAATGAAGTGTCCCTTTTCTATGTATCCATAGCATCCTGTGAAAACCTCCACCTTGTACTAGATTACCATGACTTTAATTTCCTATTTATTTGTTGAGCTTTGTCAAGTCATCTGTAAACCTCTTCACAACAAGTATGCACAGAGCCTGGCATGAAGTGGATATTCAACAAAAATTAGTCAAGTGGAGTTGAATCACAACACATGGGGTAAGTCCTACACTGAAGAGGGCCCTTAATCATAGGCTTCTAAACACATTTTCCTTTATTTCTGGCATGGCAAATGATCCGCCCATTCATGATCTTATACTTGCACATTCTGGAAGATGCAGAGCCTCCATAGGTTAAAAATGTTCAAGGAGGGTATCCTTGGTCCCTTCTCTCATAATGAATATAGTGGGATAGACATTAAAGGTATGGAGAAGGGTGGGATGGCTGTTGGTGGCAAAAAGAAGGTGTTAAAAGCTGGTATAGACATGATCATGATATTCAAGGTCAGGCAAAACACATGGATTTTGGAAAGACGATTTCATGTACATTATATATTTCCAATGAGATTGTGAGTTCCTTAAGATCAAGAGCCTCACCTCATGTTTCTTGTTACTCCTTACAGTGTTGGGCATCTAGAAGATATTAGCTTGTTTTTTAAAGACTGTCCTCTGTATGGGGACATGTACTTATAAAACATGTCTCAGCCGTTAGACTAGGTGGATTGTTCTGTTGTACCTGGTGGCACGCTACACTTATCATTATGGCATCCCCACACTCATATTCTGTACTTACATCTGTCTTTCCCATTACTGCAAGTGCATAGCTAAGACCATCTTATTCATTGCTGTGTCCAAGTATGTAACAGTGCCCAGCACATAGCAGCTACTAAATAAACATTTATTGATGAGCTGACTCTATAACTAATATAAAATGTGTTCGGATAGATGCGTACTCACATTTGTATTCTATGTGCATAATGTAGTTGGTTTGTTCATTGGTGGGAGGTATGACTACCATTTAGATGACTGGACTAGTTGATGACTTAGCTTAGGGGAAGAGAAATCTCTTTGACTTGGGCTTTTTTTCTGGATATCTTGAGCAGTTTATGGGTGTCTCTAAACTACTCTAGAATATGTAGAAACAGCCATTATACCAAACTCAGAAGGAATATAAAGACTCATGGATGGGCATTGGATTTATTTAGATGTATCAAATACTGCTTAAGATCAGTCCCTGGCTGGAGGAGCCACTGAAGGAAACTCTTGTTGTAGTGGCACCAGCCTACAGGTACCTCCTGAGCAATGTGACAAAGGTCCCCCTGCATTTCAGAAGAAACTTACAGACTCTTCCCATTTCTTCTTTCATTTGGATTTTTCTCTCTCCTGGAGTTTCTCTCACCATTGTGTTTCCCACAAACATCTATTTCCCTAAACTTTAAATATGTTATTTGTGTTTGGTTTTCTATGGGAATTTTCCAGTTCTTGGTGATTCACAGTGTAGAGTCAGAGGAGACATAAATGCATGCCTTTTCTTAAAGGTATGGCAGCAAAAGGAGGGGCTAAGTACAGAGGTGGAGGGAATTATTATTTATTGTTGACCTAAGGGGGAGGCAATCTGCTGAGTGTTTACATATGTTAATACTCACCCACCTGGATAGCAGGCATCATTATGCCAAAGGTATGGCAGCAAAAGGAGGGGCTAAGTACAGAGGTGGAGGGAATTATTATTTATTGTTGACCTAAGGGGGAGGTAATCTGCTGAGTGTTTACATATGTTAATACTCACCCACCTGGATAGCAGGCATCATTATGCCATTCTGTAGTCTCACCATGGTTTATAAAATCCTTTGTGATGATGAGTTAAAGAATATCTAGAAGTTAGCTAGGAAAAAAAGGACAGGAAGGTTGTTCCAGAAAGAGAAAATGCTATTTTACCTCCTTTCCAATTTTACCTCCTATCACTTTCCTATTCCTTTCTGAGGCCCCAACCACAGTGACCTCCTTGCTGGCCTCGAGTGCTGCCGAGCATTCTCCTGCTTTAGGGGCCTTGGAATCTGCTTTCCCAAGCCACCGCCATGGTTCACTCAAATGCCACCTCTTTAGAGAAACCTTCACTGGCCACTCTATCTAAAATAGTGACCCCTTTGTTCTCTAGTCCCTTATCCTATTTTATTTTTCTTTATGGGACTTATCATAGCTAATATTACATTGTACACACATGTGCATGCACACACACGTATCAATATATCCTGTATTTTCAACTAGAGGGCAAATATCTCTGTCTGGTTCACCATTGTCTTGGTCACTGTTGTGTCCCCAGCTCCTGGACTGGCACTGCCACATGGTAGGTACTAGATAAATAATGAATGAATGCATCTATTTCAGAAGAGAACATTGAGGCACTGACAAGTGTCATCTCAGATGGAGTCAGACCTAAGTTCCTTTCCTCTGGAGTCTTGGGAGGGCAGGATTTTTGAGCTGAACTCCTCCGGTCACCCCGCTGTGCCCCTGTCTCGTCACTTCCTTATATCAATGCCTCAGAGAAATAACTGCCTTTGCTGATCCCCTCATACCCAGGTAGACTTGAGGTGCCGGCGGATTTCCCAGGCTGTAGAGGAGGTGCAGAAAGTCATCCATCATTTGACCACAGAGATCAGCCACCAAGATATTAGATTTCAAGCCGTGCTTTACTCTGACACGTACAATGAGAACATTAAGGTAAGCAAGTCTCACTTGTTTCTAAGTGTCCACCAACAGAGCAGAACTCTCAGATGGATGGAACTTGGTATGTGACAGGTGCTCACCCCACTAAGAATACTTCATGTTTCTGCAGGTACTCTAAATATTTACCATTTATGATCTCATTTCATAGATGTTACCTCATTTGAGCCCCCACATTACCAGATGATAAATACAAGGCATAGAGAAGTCAAATTACTTGATTAAATCATATTAGGCACTAAAGCCAGAACTCACACTGAGGCTTCTGATTCCAAAGCACATTCCACTGTAATGATTCAAGCTCAGTTAAGCACACATTCATTTATTAAGCACCTGCTTAATAGATTGAGGCCTATTGAGGAGAGGAAACTAAGGGCACTGATAACAAAATAGTTGAAAGTGATGGTCTATGGGTTGCAGGTGGGGGAAAGAAGAAAGTAGAAGAGGAATCCCTAGACCCTGTGGGAACAGCCTGACAATCTTTGTCCCTACTGAGAAATCCCACTGAGTACGAGCCACCAGGGACAGTGTGTGACAATCAGCATTTGTGCAACACTGCAGTGAGGGCAACGCTGTTCTTACAGAAATTATCTCATTCAAACCTATAAACAACCTTGTGGAAAAGACAGTATGGTTAACTCCATTTTAGAGGTGGGAGAAATGAGACTGAGTCATTCTGAACCTTCATCATTCTTTATCTCAGTTTTTCTTACACCACATAAGAACCTTTTTCACTTTGTATTAAATTCATATGTATTCATGGCCTGTTTCTCACACCAGAGTGAAAGTTCTCTGATTGTAAGGATCACATTTATTGATTGCTTTATTTCTAGCACCCAGCACGTGGTACATGGTAGACACCCAACTTAAGTTGAATGAATGAGTGAGCAAAAGAATTAATACCTCAACAAAAGACCATTGCTGGCCTAGTACATCTCATGGTTGGTGCACGAAAGGACCACCCCCGAGATTCTGGGACTTGTGGGTTTTGAGACAGAGTCAGATCTTTAGGAAATTTATTCCTTGATGAAAATTGTAAAACTAGATTGGATCCTGGGATGTCAGAACATTACCTGCCCACGTCTACCACTCTAGACCGACCTAAATTGCACAAATATAGATCAGTGATTAGGAACAGAGACATTACATCACTTTTCTTAGAACTAAGATTCTGGGACTTGTGGGTTTTGAGACAGAGTCAGATCTTTAGGAAATTTATTCCTTGATGAAAATTGTAAAACTAGATTGGATCCTGGAATGTCAGAACATTACCTGCCCATGTCTACCACTCTAGACCGACCAAAATTGCACAAATATAGATCAGTGATTAGGAACAGAGACATTACATCACTTTTCTTAGAACTATACCCAAGGAAATTTCCCTCTGTGGTCCCATGTAGAATTTAGAGCTTAAAATGTGTCTCGTGTTTATATATATCATATCCTGCATATGAAGTTTTGAAAATAGTTACAATGTAGCATATAAAAATTGCTTGTATTTTATCTTGGACCAAATTCAACAAGTATTTATTAAGCACCATTTATATGATTAGCAACATGGTAGTTGTGCTGTTGAATTCAAATGCAAGTGGATTCAAATAATATGCAGATTTTGAATTCCATAGTTTAGATTCTTTTCCCTCATTTTTAATCTAGCCACCTTTCTATGGACACCAGAAGTCATGTGGATCCACTATCTAAAACATCAAACTATTGTTCTGTGAGAGTGAGGCAGAATCAGTTGGAGCTGGTTCTGGTGTTCACCCCTGAACTGGTCAATGACTGGGCCCCGGGCAAGGGTTACCCAAACTCTCACTGTCAGAACTTTCCATGAGAGGAGGTAGCTGACATGTAGGGGAAGGTGCGGTGTGGAGTGGGCTGCCTTGTGACAGAGTCAAAGACCAAGTCCCTTTGATGGTACCACACTGTTGAACAACTCGTTCTATCCCTTGAACTATTGGTGTGACTGCTTTTCCTGTGATCACTGTTTAACTGGTTCCTGGAGAGAGGGAGTAGGTGGGTTCTGATTATTTGCTTTTCCCCTTAAACTTAGAAGCATCCCAATAGCTCACATTGTCTAAACAAACAGCTGTTCATTTCACCTTTGATTTTGTAAGGGTTAGTCACAAATACTGGCCATGCGTATTCAATACAGGCAAAAAGAAAGGGGGTAATTTGCAAAAGTCTTTTACCTTCTTTCCTATCCCTTCCCACCCTTTATTCATACCAGACCTTTCACCCATTCCATATTGCTTATTCTTGACTGAGAGTTAGCCCAGGGTAGAAAAACATCATTGAATGAGCTATCAAAAGACCTAAACCTGACTGGAGACATCATTCAAGATGGTGGAGTAGAAGGCCGCCAGTGTCACTCTCTCCTACAACTGACCAATTTACAACTATTAAAATGCAAAGACTGCCAGCCTGGGACAACTGGAGCTCAGAGGAAGAGACGAGACCTACAGAGTTTGTGAAGGTGGGAGAAGCCGCGGTAAGAGAAAGAAGAGACCACTCTGACTGTTTTGAGTCCTGGCTGCTTCAGGCCTGGCCCTGGTGAGCCCACAGAGTGGGAGCTGGCAAAAGCTGCAGCTGAGCCCTTTGTGTGAAGTTGCTTAGAGTCTGCAGGAGAGAAAAGGGCTTTAGCATGCAAAGGGCTTCCCCAGGCCAGTGAGACCTCTGACAGGGTTCCTGTGGACCCATACAGGAGTGAGGGGCCACAGCCAACTGAAAATAGGAGCCACCCAGAGACTGGTGAGTCATCATGAGGGATCTGCACGTGGCCCACCCCATGGAAAGTGGTAGGAGTGCAGGAGTTGAGGGGTAGGCTGGCCCACATGGGGAACATCGAGGTGACACATGGGCTGATGACCTGCCTTCTGACTGGCACAGGCCCACTCAGTGGAGAGTAGTCAGAGCGCTAGAACTGCATGGGGTGCAGTTTACTGGAAAGACTCAGTCCCAGGCTGGAATTTCCACACAGCTCAGGTGTATCTGACTTTACAAGACCCAGACATGATTGAAAGGTCAACAATTAAAACCTGAGCTGCACAAAAAGCCTTCACCAGGGAATCAGTAGCAAAGCAGCTATTTAGCTCAACCACAGTTCTCCCATTTTGGAATTAACCAAAGGACAACAGATTAGTTCCAGTGCAGAGTTGAAGTGGTAGTGGTAGATAATAATTCAACACAGAACTGAAAGAAAAAATAAAAACCCCACAGATCAGAGACAAAGGTCTTATAGTAACCAGTAAATGTATAACACCACCAAAAAACACCTGTAAATCCTAGAAGAGGTAGCAGTCTCCTCAAATGCTCAGAATCAATGTAAAGACACAAAGGTTTAAAAAAAACAAAGAAATAAGACACCATCAAATGAAACAAATGAAGCACCAGCAATGGACCCAGAGAAGCAGCTGATTTATGAAATGTCTCACAGAGAATTCAGAATAACCCTCCTAAAGATGTTCAGGTAGTCACAAGAAAATGCAGATAGAAAATTAAATGATAACTGGAAAACAATCCAGGAGCAGAGTGAGAAATTTGACAAAGGAATTGAATCAATAAAACAAAACAAAAAATAAAACAACAAGAAAAACCTAATAGAAATTCTAGAAATAAAGAATGCATTATTTGAACTAAAAAACTCGATAGAAAGCTCCAATAGAAGACTTAATCAAACTGAGGAAAGAATCAGTGAGCTTGAAGATAAAACGTATGAAATATCAAATCAGAGGAAAAAAAGAATAAGAAAAAATGAAACAAATACAGCAAATATGGAACTCCTTTAGCAAAATAACCTCCACATAATTGGCATACCTAAAGAAGAAGAAAAAGGAAGAGATGTGGGAAGCATATTAAAGGAAATAATGGCTACAAATTTCCCAAGTATGGAGTAAGATGAGATCATCCAGGTACAGGAAGTGCAGAGGTTGCCAATCAAATGAAATCCAAGGAGGAATACCCTGAGGCACATCATAATGAGATTATCAAAAGAAAAAGACAAAGAAAGGACACTGAAAGCAGCAAGAGAAAAGAAACACACAACATTCAAAGGAGCCCTAATACATTTCTCAGTGGATTTCTCAGTAGAACTCTACAGGGCAGAAGAGAACAGGATGATATATTCAGAGCACTGAAGGAAAAAGACTGTCAGCCAAGAATTCTCTATCCAGCAAAACTAACCTTCAAATATGAAGGAGAAATAAAGTCTTTCCCAGACAAACAAAAGCTAAGGGAATTCACCAACACTAGACCTGCCTTACAAGAAGTGCTAAAGAGAGTTCTTCAGTCTGAAAGAAGACAATGCTACAGAGCAGCAAGAAAACATTTGAAGGTCCATAACTCATTAGTAAAGTAAGTTCACAGACAACGTCAGAATACTAAAATGTCGTAAGGGGGGCAGTGAATAAACCACTTATATCCTCAATATAAAGCCTAAAGGACAAACCTAACAAGACAACAACTGTATAAGATATAGGCAATATTAAAAGATGTAACTGAAAACAATAAAATGTCAAAAAGTGGGGGGAAATGACACCAAAGTGTAGAGTTGGCTTTGGTTCTATCTTTTTTATACATAAGAAAGTTAAGTTGTTATTAGTCTAAAATAATCTGTTATAACTGTAACATTTTTTTGTAAGCCTCATGGTAATGATAATACAGAAACGTATGAGACATACTAAATAAATAGTGAGATATCAAAATACATTGTAGAAAAAACTACTCAATCACAAATGAAGACAGTAAAATCAGAAAAAAGAAAATAGGACTAACAAAAGAACTAGAAAAAAGGTAACAAAATGTCAGTAACAAGTCCCTATATATTAATAACTCCTCTAAATGTAAATGGATTAAATACCCCAATGAAAAAACACAGAGTGGCTCAATGGATTATAATACAAGAACTAACAATATGCTGTGTCCAAGAAACTCACTTCACCTATAAAGACACATAACAACTGAAAGTGAAGGGCTCAAAAAAGATATTTCATGCAAATAGAAACTGAAAAAGAGCAGAAGTAGCTATACTTATATAGATAAAATAGACTTCAAGCCAAGGAAAGTAAGAAAAGATAAGGAAGGTCATTATATAATGATAAAGGGATTAATTCAACAAGAAGTTATAACAATTCTAAATATATACACACACAAGTCTGGAGCACCCAGTTTTAATTATTATTAGACCTAACTGGAGAAATAGACTCCAGCACAATAATAGTTGGGGACTTTAATGCCCCATTTTCTGTAAAGGACAGATCATCCAGACAGCAAATTAACCAGGAAACATCAGAATTCATTTCTACTCTAGGACATATATGGAACATTTGGACCTATGGACATATATGGAACATTTCATCCAACAGCTGAAGAATACACATTCTTCTCAGCAGCATATGGAATATTCTGTAGAATAGACCATAGGTTAGGTCACAAGACAAGCCTCAACAAATTTAAAAAAAAATTAAAATCGTATTAACTACCTTGTCTGGCTGCAATGGAATAAAACTAGGAATCAAAAACAAAAGAGACACTAGAAACCATATGAATACATGGAAATTAAACAACATGCTCCTAAACAATGAATGAGTCAAAGAAGAAATCAAAAAGGAAATTAAAGAATTTCTGGAGACAAATGAAAATGACAACATAACATATAAGAAACTATGAGATACAGCAAAAGCAGTTCCAAGAGGGAAGTTTATAGCAGTAAACGCCTAAATCAAAAAAGAAGAAAGACTTCAAATAAACAACCTAACATTATACCTCAAGGAACTAGAAAAACAAGAACAAACCAAACCAAACCCAAAATCAGTAGGAGAGAAATAACAAAGATCAGAGGAGAAGTAAATTAATTAGAGATTAAAAAAACAATACAACAGATCTATGAAACAGAGTTGGTTTTTTGAAAAGATAAACAAAATTGATAAAACTTTAGCTAGACTAATGATGGAGTTTGGATGTGTTGTCCCCTACAAAACTCACGTGGAAATTCGATCTCCAATGTGGCAGTGTTGGAAACTAACTGAGTCATGAGGGTGGATCCCTCATGAATGGATTAGTGCTCTCCCTGGGGGAGGGGGGATTAATGAGTGAGGTCTTGTTCTATTAGTTCCCGTGAGAACTCATTGCTTAAAAAGACCCTGGCACCTTCTTCCTCTCTCTTGCTTCCCCTTGCCATGTGATCTCTTTGTACCTGCCGGCTGCCTGCCACTTTCCACCATGAGTAGAAACAGCCTGAGGCCCGTGCCAGATGCAGCTGTCCCAGAATCATAAGCCAAATAAACCTCTTTTCCTTATAAGTTACCCAATCTCAGGTATTTTGTTATAGCAACACAAAACAGACTAAAACAACTAACAAAAAAAGAGAGAAGACTCAAATAAAATCAGAAATGAAAAAGACATTACAACTTATACTACAAAAATACAAAGGATTATAAGAGACTACTATGAACAACTAACTGGAAAATCTAGAAGAAATGAATAAATTTCTGGACACATAAAACTTACCAAGGTTAAAGCATGAAGAACTAGAAAATCTGAACAGACCAATAACAAGTAATGTGATTGAAGCAGTAATAAAAAGTCTCCCAACAAAGAAAACTCCAGGACCAGATGGTTTTACTGCTGAATTCTACTAAACATTTAAAGAAAAACTAATACCAATTCTTCTCAAACTCTTCCAAAAAATTGAAAAGGAGGGAATACTTCCAAACTCATTGTATGAGGCCAACATTAACCTTATACCAAAATCAGAAAAAGATACAACAAAAAGAGAAAACTATAGACCAATATCCCTAATGAACACAGACGCAAAGATCCTCAACAAAATACTAGCAAACAGAATCCAACAACACATTAAAAAGATCATTCACCATGATCAAGTGGGATTCATCCTAGGAATGCAAGGATGGTTCAACAAATGTAAATCAGTAAGCATGATAGATCACATAAGCAGAATGAAGGAAAAAAAAAACATGATCATTTCAATAGACACAGAAAAAGCATTTGATAAAACCCTACACTCCTTCATGATAAAAACACCAACAAACTAGGTATAGAAGGAATGTGCCTGAACACAATAGAGGCCATATATGACAAACCCACAGCTAATATCATACTGAATGGACAAAAGTTGGAGGCTTTTCCTCAGATCTGGAACAAGACAAGGATGCCCACTTTCCCCACTCTTATTCAATATAGTACTGGAAGTTCTAGCCAGCACAATAACGCAAGAGCAAGCAATAAACGGCATCCAAATCAGAAAGGAGGAAGTCAAACTATCCATGTTGACAGATGACATGGTCATATACATAAAGCCCTAAAGACACCACCAAAAAATTACTAGAATAAGTGAATTCAGTGTAGTGGCAAGAAATGAAATCAACACTCAAAAATCAATAGCCTTCTTATACACCAGTAATGAAATAGATGAAGAAGTCAAGAAAGTAATTCACAATAGCTACCAAAAAATATGAAATATCTAGGAGTGAATTTAACAAAGGAGGTGAAAGACCTTTACAATGAAAACTATAAAGCACTTGTGAAAAAAATTAAGAACACAAATAAATGGAAAGGTATCCCATGCTCATGGATTGGAAGAATTAAGATTAACAAAATGTCCATATTACCCAAAGCAATCTACACATTCAAAGCAATGTCTATCAAAATGCCAATGACATTCTTCACAGAAATAGAAAAAATGATCTTAACGTTTGTACAATGTTGAATATACTAATTATCCTGAGTTGAACATCACGTTTTGCACATAGGTATTGGTATTCAACACTATACCCCACAGATATGTATAATTAATTATGTTTCAATAAATAAAAAAATTAAAAATAAATGTGTTAGAAATTTTGGAAAGAAAAAAAAAAAAAAAAGGTATGAAACCACAGAAGACCCTGTATAGCTAAAGCAATTTTGAATAAAAAGGACAAAGTTGGAGGCATCACACTTCCTGACTTCAAAATATACTATAAAGCTACAGTAACCAAAACAGCTTGGTACTGGCATAAAAATAGGTAAATAGACCAATGGAACAGAATAAAGAACCCAGAAACCACTCATTTACAGCCAACTGATTTTCAACAAAGGTGCCAAGAATATACAGTGGGGAAAGGACAGCCTCTTCAATAAATGGTGCTGGGGAAACTGGATATCCACATGCAGAAGATTGAAACTAACTCCTATCTCTCACCACACACAAAAATCCACTCAAAATGGTTTAAAGACCTAAATTTAAGAGCTGAAACTATGAAACTACTAGAAAAAAACATAGGAGAAATGCTACATGAAAAGGGAGTGGGCAGTGCTTTTTTGAACAAGACCACAAAGGGACAGGCACCTAAAGCAAAAATACACAAATGGGACTACATCAAACTAAAAAGCTTCTGCACAGCAAGGGACACTATCAATAAAGTGAAGAGACAACATACGGAATGGGAGAAAGTGTTTGCAAACTACACTTCAGACAAGGAGCTAATAACTAGAATATATAAGGAACTCAGTTCAACAGCAAAAAAACACAAATAACCCAGTTTAAAAATGGGCAAAGAACCTGAATGGAAATTTCTCTGATGAAGACATACAAATGGCTAACAAGCACATGAAAAAATGCTCAACATCACTAATCATAAGGGAAATGCAAATTAAAACCACAATGAGATATCATCTCACCCCAGTTTGAATGGCTGTTATCAAGACAGAAAATAACAAATGCTGGTGAGTATGCAGAGAAGAGAGAATCCTCCTACACTGTTGGTGCTAATGTAAGTTGGTACAGCCATTGTGGAAAACAGTTTGGAGGTTTCTCAGAGAGCTAGAAATAGATCTACATTACTCTCTAACTACTGGGTATATACCCAAAGGAAATGGAATCAATGTATCAAAAAGATACCTGCACTCCCATGTCCATCACAAGGCCATTCACAATAGTCAAGTGATGGAATCAACCTAAATTCCCATCAACAGATGAATGGATTAAAAAACTGTGGTGTATATGCACAATGGAATACTATCTAGCTATAAAAAAATGATATCCTATCATTTGCAGAAACATGGATGGAAGTGGAAACCATCATGTTAAGTGAAGTAAGTCAGGCACAGAAAGACAAATACTCCATGGTGTCACTCATATGTGTAATCTTTAAAAAAAAAAAAAAGTTCTCAGAAGTAAAGAGTAGAATAATGGTTACCAGAGGCTGGTCGGGGATGCAGGGAGGAAAAGATGTAGACTAATGGGTACAAAACTATGCTGTTTACCCTAAGTTAATCATTGTGCATGTGTTGAAACAATATGCATGTGTTGAAACAATACACTGTACCCTACAAAAATAAATACGAATAAAGTTGAAAAATAATATAAAATAGATGAAGACCTAAACTCGAATTCTGGCACTTCAACTTATTGGCTGTGTGTCCCTGGGGAAATCTCCAAGCCCCTCTGAGGCTTAGATCTCTCATATGGGAAAAGGCAACACAGCCCACCTCACTGTGTGATCGTGGAGGTCAGTGGGCACACGCATGAGAACTGCAGGGCATCCTGGGGTGCGAGGCTCAGCGAGGACTTGTTCTTCCGCCTCCCTCTTCTTCTCCCTTCAAGCTTTAGGTCCACTCTAGAATTCCAGGTCTAGTCCACTCTTCTTACCTTGGGTTTCATAAAACCAAAAACTCAGCAAGTTAATTTACCTGCCCTGGGCATTACAGTGGGTTAGTGGCAGACGAAGCTGCGGCCCTCTTGTGCCACCCAGATCCAGTTCTCTGTCGACCTCATTACATTGCTGAGAGCTTAACTGAACTGCCTGGTGCACAGGTCAGCTCCTCAAGAACAATGTTACCTCCCAACTCTATAAACTCACACTCATTTTCTTTTTTCCTGACCCCAGGTTTTGGCCCCCAGCCAGTTCCTCATCACAGTCCCGGTAAAAGGCCTGTCTGGGTACAAGGAAGCCAGCGAGCAGCGCTGGCGGTACTATTCCCTGCAGGGAGCCAGGCTGCCCTGTCCCTTGCGGGAACCAGAGGACCTGCAGCAGTGGCTGGAGGTGGAGCAGTTTATGAAGAGCCTATGGCAGTGGCATGAGGCAGATGTGACCATTGAGGGGGACATTGTGCCCGCCAAGGTCCTCCAGGTGTTCCGGAAGCTGGTGGAAAATGCAATTACAACCTGTCACCTCGCAGGTGAGCTGATCAGGAAAAAGTGCAAAGGAAATTGCTGGCATTTTGCTTTTGCAGTAAAAAAAACCCTACTTGGGTGTTACCTGTATTATGGAACAGACTGCTGAGAAACCAAGCGTCACTCGGAGGGTTGGAGAACTCAAAGATTTATTACACTGGTGGGCCCGGAGGAGTTCACACTCCAAAGTCTGAGCCCCAACTCCAGGCTTGCAAAGGGTTATATAGGTTACATTCTTATAGGGTAATCCATGCAGCAAGGGCTAAGCTGATAGAAAAGACGGTCCGTGTTACAAAAGCAAAACAAAAAGCAAAAATACAGGTGCAAAACAAAGAGCAGAAGTACAGGTACAGGTTTAAGTTTTTCCGGGCTTGTCCATATCATTCCCCTCTTTGATGCTCTCTTTTAATTTTCTTTTAAGTGAGCATCACATTCGGGCTCTTTTTGCTGTCAATAGGGGAATGGGTTAGTGGTTACAATCAGGGGCACATGGGAGCATCACTGGGGAAGCCAGGGCATGGGTCAGGAGTCACAATGGGGCCCATCATTGAATGATCCCAAATAAAGCCTGTTTTAGTCTGTTTTGTGTTGCTATGACAGAAATACCTGAGACTGGGTAATTTATAAAGGAAAGAGGTCTATTTGGCTTATGATTTTGGGACAGCTGCATCTGGCATGGGCCTCAGGCTGCTTCTACTCATGGCAGAAAAACAGCAGGCAGCTGGCGGGTACAAGCAGATCACATGGCGAAAGGAAGCAAGAGAGAGAGAGAAGGTACCAGGGTCTTTTAAAGCAACGAGCTCTCACGGGAACTAGTAGAGCGAGAACTCACTCATTAATCCCCCCTCCCCCAGCGGGAGTATTAATCCATTCAAGAGCATTAATCCATTCATGAGGGATCCCCCCCCGTGACTCAATCAGTTTCCAACACTGCCACATTGGAGATCAAATTTCCACATGAGTTTTGGAGGGGACAACACATCCAAACTCCATCAAAGCCTATCTGGGGACTTTCTAGCTAAGACCCACAAGGGAAAGAAATAATGTGGTACACATAGCAGAAAATCAAAACAAAGTCAAGGATCACCAATCCCAAAAAACACAGACCAACAAATTCTGCAGGGGTGCACCCCCTCATCCGAGATCCTCAAGCTTCAGCTGTGTATTGACTGGTCAGCTTCTGGAGTGACAAGGGCAGGGCTGTTGTTTGGTCACCTCTGGAGTTGGACCTTGAGCGGGTTCATGGGGTCAGTCTTTATGGTCCAGGGCATTGTGTTGTCCAGTGTGGCTGCATTTTTGACCTGCGTAGTAGTTAGAACGACCATGTGGGGGACTGTCCAGACAGGCTGGAGAGGCCTCTTTTTCCAATCTTTGACCCAGGCCGTATCCCTAGGCTGATGGGGGATGTGTCCAGTTCCCTAAAGCAATAGGGGCCCGCTCTAGTACTTCCCTTGTGATCTGACGGAGTTTTTCCTAGAGCTTGCAATTGTTGGGATAACCCTAGTTCCCCTAGCTGTTTCCCTCTGGTTTGGTTACAATTGGGGGTGACCTCCCATACATGATTTCATAGGGGGAATACCCGAAAGGCCCTGGCATGCATCGGGCCTGGAGCAAGGCTAAGGGTAGCATGTCTACCCAAGGCAGCTTTGTTTCCTGGCATAGTTTAGCTATAGTGGTCTTAAGGGTCTGATTCAAGTGCTCCATTTTCCCTGAGCATTGTGGCCTATATGCCACATGGAGTTTCCACCTGATTCCTAGCATCTTGGCCAAAGTCTGAACTATTTCTGAATGAATTGACCGGTCAGCTTCTGGAGTGACGAGGGCAGGGCTGTTGTTTGGTCACCTCTGGAGTTGGACCTTGAGCGGGTTCATGGGGTCAGTCTTTATGGTCCAGGGCATTGTGTTGTCCAGTGCGGCTGCATTTTTGACCTGCGTAGTAGTTAGAACGACCATGTGGGGGACTGTCCAGACAGGCTGGAGAGGCCTCTTTTACCAATCTTTGACCCAGACCGTATCCCTAGGCTGATGGGGGTGTGTCCAGTTCCCTAAAGCAATAGGGGCCCGCTCTAGTACTTCCCTTGGGATCTGACGGAGTTTTTCCTAGAGCTTGCAATTGTTGGGATAACCCTAGTTCCCCTAGCTGTTTCCCTCTGGTTTGGTTACAATTGGGGTGACCTCCCATACATGATTTCATAGGGGGAATACCCGAAAGGCCCTGGCATGCATTGGGCCTGGAGCAAGGCTAAGGGTAACATGTCTACCCAAGGCAGCTTTGTTTCCTGGCATAGTTTAGCTATAGTGGTCTTAAGGGTCTGATTCAAGTGCTCCATTTTCCCTGAGCTTTGTGGCCTATATGTATGCCACATGGAGTTTCCACCTGATTCCTAGCATCTTGGCCAAAGTCTGAACTATTTCTGNTATGCCACATGGAGTTTCCACCTGATTCCTAGCATCTTGGCCAAAGTCTGAACTATTTCTGACACAAAAGCTGGCCTATTGTCAGATCCTATAGTTAGCGGCAGCCCGTGCCTTGATATGACTTCCTTTAGGAGAGCCCTGGCTCCTTCCCGTGCTTGTCTGGTACAGGTTGGCAGAGCCTCGGCCCATCCAGTGAAGGAGCAGATTAAAACTGAAGGTACTTACAGCCTCTGCATCATTTTACTTCAGTGACGTCTACTACTAAGTCCTCAAATGGTGTAGTTCTGGTTGTTTGTATGCCCAGAGGTGGCTTGGGGTTTTTGTCCAGTGTTGTTCTGGGACCATGTCAGTCATCGGTAACTGATCTGGGCACACAACAAAGGGAGTCTGGTTATAAAGTAGTATCTGCTCAGTGTGGCTTCAAGAGTTGTTTTTCCCCAATGGGTCATCTCGTGATATTGTGACACCAGCTGGTAGGCCAACTGCTGGGGAACCAGAAGTCTCTGATCCAGGAGCTTCCGCCATCCCTCCTCGGTCTTTCTCCCCTCTTTGCTAGCTGCCCATTGAACTTCTTCCTTTGTGTACCTCAGGTGTTGTGTTGTTTCTGGAACCAACATGATTTTGGCAGCATCGCCCAAGTCCACAGCAGGCTCTGTTTGGGTGGCTGCTCTCTTGTCCGTTTGGTCTGCCAGCCAGTTTCCTTTACTGATTTTGTCAGTCCCTTTCTGGTGTCCTTTGCAGTGTATTACAGCCACTTCAGTTGGCTCCCACACTGCTTCAGGCA